TATATATATGTATGTATAGTATATGTTGTATATGTATATATAGTTGTTATGTATATATATGTATGTTATGTTATATTATGTATGTATATGTTATATATGTTGTATTGTATATGTAGGTATGTATATGTATGTATATGTATATATATGTATGTATATTGTATATATATGTATGTATATGTATATATATGTATATATATGTATGTATATGTATATATATGTATATATATGTATGTATATGTATATATATGTATGTATATATATGTATGTATTGTATATATATGTAGTATATATATGTATGTATATGTATATATATGTATATATATGTATGTATATGTATATGTATGTATATGTATATATATGTATATATATGTATGTATATGTATATGTATGTATTGTATATATATGTATGTATATGTTATGTATATGTATGTATATGTATATATATGTATGTATATGTATATATATGTATGTTATATGTTTATGTATGTATATTATATATATGATATGTATATTATGATATATATGTATTGTATTTATATGTAAAAGATTGTTATATATGTATGTATATGTATATATTGTATTATATGTATGTTATGTATAATATATGTATATTATGATTGTAAATAATGTATTATATGTATATGTATATATATTGTATATATATGTTATGTAAATTATGAGTATTGTATTTATATGTAAAAATTAGTATGTATATGTATATATATGTATTATTATATATTTTTTATTTTTATTAAATATGTATGAAAAATTGTATATATATGATGTATATGTATTAATGTAGTAATGTATATATTGTATGTTATGTATTTTAATGTATATATATGTATGTATATGTAGTATATATTGTATATTTTAATATATATAATATATATATATTATATATATATATATATATATTTAAAATTATGTATGTATAATTTTTAAGGGAATCTTCGTTAATGGGGAACGAAAAAAATTTCGAAACTTTCCTTTATATATTTCAAAAACTAACTTTGACTTCTTATTAGGCTGTGTTTGCCCGTCATCCCTTTACCCTGAAGCCGTACAAAGAGTCGACGATTCTTCTCAGGTGATGTAGCTTGTTTCGTTATTTTTCGGTTTTCCTTCCCGTTATACTGATGAAATTAAGACACATGTGCAAAAATTGGGGATCTTTTGTAAAGTGGAATTCTGAAACTCCAAGAACGGTGCACTTCGCACCTACTCCTGGTTTAGGGACTGTTACCTCATCTTCTGTATATGTCCTACTGTCTTAAGTTTGTCCTAGAATTTGTATTTAAAAGCATGGAAAGGCGAAACGTTAAATAAAGTACCCCGATGTTGCACATGTTTTAATTTTATCTTGCGGTATTTATACCCTTCTTGCATACCCTTTTACGCAGCCCACATTTATCTCCCTTTGCGTGTACGTGCTCGCATTTTTCCCCCTCTGATCGAGATCCCATTAGCAAACTCCATATTTGCCTGAATAGCTGCTTCTGTTTTAAGATTTCAAATGCCATCATTTTCTTAGCACTGGCATTTGTGATCTAATGGACTGTTCGCCCCCTCCCCTCTCCTTTTACCTCCCGTGATCTTGAATTTCGGTGCTGCGACTACTAAAGAACTGCTATTCTTCTATGACCCTCCCTCTTCTTCCTCTTGATTTCGACTTCGCGGTAATGGATTATATGTACAGTAGTTACTTTGTCATTAGTATTTGTGAAGTGCTAAACTCTTGTCAGATAATAAGCTCGAGTGGTGGAGGCTAAATCATCTGTCCGCTTAATAATCAGGGGCGGCACCAAGGAAGGACTTGGGAAGGAAGGAACCTTCAAATTCCCTCAGCCCCCCCTCTACAAAAAAAGTATCCTAGCCCTCCCAACAAGATAGCCAGCCCTACCCTCCCCCCCACATTACCGAAATTCTGGCACCGCGCTTGCCTCGGAACGCTGCCTAACGGTACTTACCGATCACCTATCATCATAACACCGCTCGTTCCTAGCTTTTATTAATTTTATTTATACATTTTTTAGACTTTCATACTTAATCCTTTGAACCATAATGAAATTGGGCTACGACGCTGAAAAATTTAAAAAGACCGCAAAAACTTTTCAGATTTAATAAGTCCAAGTTTTTATGCCATCAGAGGCCTGGTCACAGACCGGGGCGCGGTGGCGTTGATCCCAGAAACCCTCACCAGGTATACTCCAGGTATCCCCTTTAACCGTTTACGATTTTTTTTGTCACAACTTGTCTGCAGGAATCACCCATCAAGTATTGCTCTGATTCTTAAGTTGTAGACTGGGTTCAGCTCTAGTCTCATTTCATTATACATACGCACACTTATATGTACATACGTACAGATATACAAAAGCTTACATACGTACATTCATATGCACATTCATACATATGTAGATGCATAAATATACGTTTTTATATTTTGCTGCAAAGCTATTTTATGACTGCCCTGCACTCTTCCTTTTGCGTAGAGGTAAAGCAGGCTGGGGGTAGGGAACACGGGGCTACCTTTCTCGGATCATTGAGGTAGAGGGGCCTAGGGTTATGGAATATGTGGATTTATTGGATAGTGCAACGACTGAAGAAAGCCTACTTCTAATGCATGTTCTCTTCTATCATGCAGTGATGCTTAACCTGGGGTTTTCACTTTATTTGATACCATTTTTCAGCTGCTGGTCGATGTAAATTCTGCACTCAACACATTTGTGGCTGAGCGTACATAACACCTTGTTTACAGTTTATAAACTTTCACGACGTGAGATCTTTTTGTCTGAACTGTCACTAACTTTCACCAGATCTGCTGTTCCATATAAGAATTTTCAGTGAGCAACATTTTCACGTTCATGCTGGATAAGGAAAAGTGATAGTCAAAATTATATTATCTACTAGTGAGGATTCCGTAGATGTCAGCTGAATATCGAGAATGTTGAAATGATTGATAATAAGGTTTCGAATATATAATAAATGTGGAAAGTGAAGTCTTGGAGATGGTGGAACCAAGGCGATATTTGGCACACCCACCTCGGTCACTTATTTTTGTGCTAATTTTTATCATTTGTATATATTTTTTATGGCTATGAGCGATGAATCGTGTGACCTACACGGTCAAAGGCCTCCGAAAATATCACAGTAGTAGTATTCGTCTCCTTGAGCCTCTAACCTGATTACCTCCAACCCTCTTCTCGTTCTCCAGGGATTATGAAACGTCTTGGTTTATCTTTTACCCATAAATATAATGCATGTCTTCCGCCGCTTTTGATTCGCCCTGATTTCTTGTTTGAAAGGATGGTTGCGTATTGTCTGGTTAGTCTTCTGCGTATTTGTCTTAAGTGCTCGTATTAAGCACAGTATGGTAAGAGAATGTTTTAGTACTACGCTGCAATTGAGCAGTAACACAAAAGGTAAATATATTTTTAATTCTTTAGACATGTCAAAACTCACAAAAGACCAAATATTATGGAACCTTATTCTGGACAAACTGACAGCCTAAGCTGTTCAAACCAAATAAGAAGCCTAAGCAAACTGAAATCGCAGCCTAACCTAGCCAGGCATGGATCATTGTTAACAACTTTCTCCTATTTGTAGTTGCAGGGGTCGGGTCAATACCCCCAGTACCGTACTTGAGCGGTGGGGGTGAAAACGTGAGTAAAGGTATAAAATGCCGTACATTGCTTTCAGTTTAAAGGAAGTCTATTAGTGCTTACAAAATTTTCTCACAGAATTATCTCTTGCGGATGAGGTAACAGATTTTGTTTGTAAGGAAAAAGTATAACAAAACTTCCCCAAAAATTCAACTTTTTCTCTCTCCACTCGAAATTCGACTTTGTAACATCCCCTCTACTCTTGCCATTCAGCTGGCCCATTAGAAAGCATCGCCAATCTTCAGTGAACCAACAAAATCTTCATCTGTAATGCTCTAATATCATGCAATTATGAGAGCCACCGCAAATGTACTGTATTCTTGCCGAAAGTGGGTAACAGTGACCATCATCCAGCATATATGAATGTTTGATAAATGTTTTATTTCTGCATCACTGCTATTGTTGGAAACATTTGTGAAAATTAAAAGTTGGAAACGACGCTGGCGGTAGTTACATGATACTTAGTGTAGCACAGAGCTGTTTTTCTTGTGAAAAATTAATGGCGCGCAAGAGATTGTGGGTTGCATTAACATAGCACATAAGTGAGTTTGTGATGGTTTATCTTATCTGGTTGTGATATGTATGAAAGTTGCACATGCAAATGTTTTGTAAGTATGATGGATGTTGTAGTTAGAGACTGTAACAAAAAGAAGAGTAAACTATTGGACTTCCTGTTTATCAGTCACGATGACTGCGCCTAGTTTTTTGGGTGGTGGTAGCGGTTGTGGAGGTGAATTAGTGTTTGTGCATGAAGTAATGTGTGTGTGTTTGTAAAAGTCGGTGTAATAATATGCATCAAAATTACAATACATTTTATGATGCACGCTTTTGCTAGTGCACATGAGTTTGATCATATTTATTTAATACTTCAAAAATAAATGAAAAGTATATTAAAATCTACAATCTTAGGCACTTTGACTTAATTTTAATAAATTTTCAACTAAAATATTTTAATTTTTATGGAATTGGAAGTATTACATTTGATAATAGTTTCATCTCGGTATATGCCCGTGGCAATCCAGACTCCGTAGCATTTTGTCTTAAAATCACATAAGTGGTTAATGTAAAATAAATGTGAAATCGAAGATAAACATGATTCAGCATAACCAGTCATGTGCAAATTGTAATATTTATAATGGGAACTAGAGAAAGTTGAAAGTGTTGTACGAGACAGCTGATTCCACAGGCTGTGAGGAGAGAAATTTTGACAATGACAATCTTTGACAACTATATTATGCGTTAGTGTGAATCGTTACCTGGAGTTCAGTTCGTGATATTTATTTTTCTCACTGCTAAATATTCAACGAACTAAGTTTTTCTTTTTTTTTTTTTTGTTAGCCAGAGAAAGCTGCTTTTGAAAAAAAAAATAATGGTGATGCTCTTCATCCGTGCAGTAGTTTTGAAGACTGAATTCCAGATACCAGAAGATTTGCGATGACATTAAAATCCTTGCTACATTAAGAGATCGGTAAGGTGGGTGTACAGAGTAAAAGTGCGTCCTTTCTCTCCTGGTTTTGTGTCATCATTGGAGTCTTCTTCATCTGCATGACCTCTGTGCTCCCTCTCCGCTTTCCATTTTCTCCCAACACTTTCTAAGAGCTCCAAGACTGAACAGTGCGCATGAGAAAGCTAGTTTTGTTGGCAGCAATAAAATGCTACTTAGGATGCTTTATTATTGACGTTTCGCTTTTGTCTGTGCAAGCTTTGCTATAAACCACACCTGGGTACAGTTCAGGTCATTTATTAGCGGAAACGTTTCGCCATAAATGACCTGAACCGTACATTAGTGTCTTTTTCCACCTCTTGTCCGTATCACCATACCATTTTTAAGCTTTGCTAAAGTTCGCCCAAGTTGGATTATAATAATGACTTGACAAATGATGCTTTTGTACTAGTGACACAATCATCAGCATCATCAGACTAGCTGCCAGTAGGATATCCTCAGAATAATTGTTTTTACGCTGTTTTCTTTTGAAAGGTAATTGGCGAGGGCGTTTACCAAATACCATTATATTGTTCCATTGTTACTAGTATTATGGCAGCACTACTCTTGTATTTCGTAGTGCTCATTATCCTGAGATATATGAATGTATTTGTATGTAAATGTATTTATTAATAACTTGTCCTATGTTAATTTCAGATGGTTTTTTCCTGAAAGTGTTATATATTTGGATGAAAATGTCAATAGGTTTTAATGTAACAGTTTTATATTCATTTTTGGCTTGTCCCTTTTTAGACCTCGTGTTGATTAGAATGTATTTGTCCATAAATTGGCATAATTATTTTCTCACCTAAGACGTGCTTTGGTGTTTGATTCACTTTCTAGGTGGCGAATATAAATTGCTGGTGCGTCTTTTATGACGCTTTAAAAAGTCATATTGGCCACCATCTTCAAATTACCCTAGTCAACACTAGGGTTGGTGTATTCCTTCAGGGAAATTTACAGACGTTGGTCTTTGTTATACAGGGTGGCCACAGAAACACTCTTATTTCACGATGTTATATCTAAACTAATTCAAATATATTGATAAACAATTATTTAATTTTTTTAGGTGATTAGACATTTTTGACCTGGAAACCACAGGGGTGCAAGGAAATCTAAAAATGGCCGCCACCCCACAGCAACGCAGCTAGTGTACACAGGAATTTGCAAGATCAGTGTTGATCACAGATACACCCTTTATGACTTTAATCGTTGTACCATTTCCGAATGGACTTTGTAGGTGGAATTGTATGATACTTTGAAAGAACGTTGCATGCCCACAACACTGATCGTGCAAGTATACACCAGCTGCGTTGCTGTGGGGTGGCGGCCATTTTTAGATTTCCTTGCACCCCTGTGGTTTTCAGGTCAAAGATGTCCAATCACCCGAAATAAATGAAATAACTGTTAGAGAATCGGTTCACAACATGTTTATCAATATATTTGAATTAGTTTAGATATCATAACATTGTGAAATAAGGGAGCGTTTTTTTGTGGACACCCTGTATGATTGAAAAATCAGTTTTATTTTTCGAAACTTTTAAATACATATCTTTGACACCCATAATTACTCGTTCAGTAGTGCCGTTAATTCTAAGTTTCGGCAATCAAAACTAGCCTAGTTATCAGTGCTAGTCACTGATCTGTTTAGGAATATAAATTGTACCTTAATTAACATGTTCAAATGCGTCACAATTAGCACAATAACCTGTATGAACGGCCACATGGGTCATGCCACAATATACCAAGTATTGCTAAAAAATTGAAGCTTCCGAAAAGTTTTAAAGAGACGTAAAGTGCCGAAATGATCATAATATACAGGAAAGGTGAGATATAAAGGAAAGTTAAGGCGAATAAATGGCTAAGATGAGCACGAAATAATAATAAACTACTGAATGTTTCGACAGTCCCTATACAAAGTGGGATTTAAAAAGCTATAAAGGCTTGCCTGCATATAATCAGTTTTAATTTAAAGATTATTCTAATTCAATTACGTAAATAATTTAGGTTATTATAATTGCCTTGCCTCGTAACTACTAAAATTTAATTAAAACTATCCCATTCTCAGGTAATTCAGTTTCTAACAATATGTCTGGCTGTAAACTCCCTAGAATTGATTTAACTGATATTCTGGGTGTTGCTGCTTAATAGTCTAGTAAGTGATTCTTGATAGGGTGAGCCAGACAAGATGATTAACTTCATCGATCTCTAAAGACAAGCGTCAGAATATAGCTCGTTCCAGAATCAGTCCACTAAAGAATCCTAGGAATTGAAGTTACCCCTCACCTTCCTTTTGATCACATGATTAATTCCATTTCCCATGCGCTGTATGACCCTACAAATTTTGTGCATTCCCATTATACATATTAAACAAATTTTCTAAATTTGCTTGCAACAGATAAGTCAACTCTAGACATAAATTCAGACATACTCCTGCTAGCCCTTTTGGGACCAAGTTCCTATGCCTTTTGTATATCCATAGGTTCTTGCGCTACGCTCCTGAAGATGGATATGGGGTGCACAATAAACTAGCAGCTTCAGCGGAAAATTAATATAATCTAATAGCAGTAACACGATGAAAATAAGAACAATGTATGGTAAAATAAACATTCTAGTGAGGGATCTTTTAATGTAGGATGGTGTCTGTCTCGCGTTACTATGTATACTTAATACATGATTCGCTAAATCGTAATGACACGATTGCAAACAAACCATACCACGGGCGGGATTGAACCCGCGGTCAGTGTGTCTGACCGCGGGTTCAATCCCTCCCGTGGTATGGTTTATACTTAATACAAATAATAAGGTAATGTGGGATTTACTGAAAGGAAGTAAACCATTTTTATACTAAGCACTTGAGGGACTCGAGGACATACTGCAGCACCCACATGGACTTCACTTAATATAGACTTGCTGTGGTAAAACAGGTTTATATATTTGTTTTGTAAGATTTGTAAACTACATTTGGTTATAATTAACCCAGGATAGATATCCATCAGTGTATATAACTTTAGACCCAAAGTAGTTGCCGCTGTATATAATTGTTACCAAAGTTACTGAGAAGAACAAAGTAAGAAATTTATTAAGGGATTGGGTACGGAAGGTTGATGTTATGACAATGAACACAAAAGAAAGCACATGATTTTTCGTTAGTATTTATCGCAGTTCATTTAAGATGTTAGGCTCGATTTCTTAGTTAAGTTTGTAGTCTTGTACTCCTGAATACAACCAAGTACAATTCTGAACTGTTTGGGGAGACAGTCCTAGCGACTGGCCCCGCATTTTAAACTACAATTGACCAGCATTATAGTTTTCCGGCCGCCTGGGCCGTCATACATATTTTTGAAACAATACTTGTGTACTTTTGCCTGGTTTTGAACCGCATTGTGAAGTTCTTTAGGTGGGTGAAGTGTAGTTGCGATGTATGTATATATGTATGTATGTATGTATGTATGTGTATATGTATGTATATATGTATGTATATATGTATGTATATATGTATGTATATATGTATGTATATATGTATGTATATATGTATGTATATATGTATGTATATATGTATGTATATATGTATGTATATATTTATATGATGATTTAGAGTAGTAAAATGAGATGGCATAGTGGTGTGGGAGAGGCGTTTGTGGTGAGTGAGAGTTAGAGAGCTCAGGAGTTTGAGATTTGCTTGTTTGTTTGGGGTGTTTGTGTATAATGTGGGTGTGGTTGAACAGTCAGCTGAACCTACACACACTGGGCTGACGTTAGATATCCCGTTATTTCCCACCCGCACATTTCACCAGAAGCTCATGTCCAAGCCTCCTTGATACTAGTGAAGGGCTTTGGATCTAGTGAATTTGAGCTGCTGTGCTTTTCCTTGAATCAGATTTGATTACCTCCCATTCCTCAGGCACTGTATAATCCCTGCGGGCTTAGCGTTTCCACGTGAAACTAATGTCTAATCCTCGTGGGCCCCCGATATACAGTGTCATCGTGAGTTAAGTGTACGCCCCAAATGTACCAAATTGATCAAACTAGCTTTTGGGAAATTTATATAAGCCCAGGTGAGAAACTTTAACTAGAGCCATGATATCATACTGGCTTAAAATAATTTTTGAGGGTTCTTAATTCATGATAACCCAAGACAGTCAAGTAATAACTTTCCATATAGGTTCTCACCAAGAATGAGACCCGCAAAAGTCGGAGTGTTTCTTAGGAACCTGTTTACTACGAGGTGAACACTGGCAGCAGGTGTAGAGACTTGTACGCCTCATCCAGCCAAAGAAACAAACCCAGGGTCCTCCTGAGCCGAACGCAACACCACTGAGCCAAGTCATGAATTAGTTGCTTTTGGAGGGTGACGTCAAACTCGGAGAAAGGCTAGCTAGAATTTAAAACAAGATGAGGAAGAGCGAGCACACAGGAAATTGTAGTTTGTGGCACTTTGGATTTTAAAATAGAAAAAGATCTAAAGGATACTATTAAGTGCTGTGTGGATATTTGTTTCATGGGTGTCGAGGGATTGCATTTCACGGAATTCACTAATACAGGTGACACCTTACCCAGGTCATGCTAAAACCTATTAATACTAATCATACCTTACCTGTAATATAAAGAGGAACGGATGTCATAATCTTAGATATATATATAAATATATATATATATATATATATATATATATAATATATATATTATATATATATTAATATATGTTTATAATATGTAATGTTATTTGTAATAATATATATATTGTATATATAATAATATATTGTCGTGCGAATAGCAGAACTTGCGATCTTGGCTTAAATAGCAACGCTTCATCTGCCATATAGGACAACGTGAAAATTTGTGTATGCAATAATTTCGCCAAATCATTCTGAACCTAACGTTAAAAAAATATATTTCACTGTGTTTTTTAGTATTAAATTATTGTAAACAAATCTAAAATATATTTTTTGTTGGGTTAGGCTACAATAATTGTTCTTGTTATAATAAG